TTAATCCCTCAATTAACGTGTGCGCTTTTATCGCTCCAAAACTTTCATTCGCATGTGTTTCGAGCAACTGAGGAGCTGGCAGCCAAAAGAGCGACAACAAGCTGCTTGTGCATCATTTATTTATTTGTAACGTGCTTTGAAACGCTTAATTGAATTATGATCACAAATTCCCTTGTTGTTTTTTTTTCCATTAAAGTTTTTATTTTCGTTAAAGTAACTGAACTTTTTGTTTGATGCTGTTTTAAATGTTAATATTTTATTGCACGGTTAATAAGAGAATAATATAAAAGAGTTGTACTTTTTTAACACCAGAAATTACAGGTGAATAGGGTAAATATTTTAGTAAATAAACTGATATCATCATACTTTCCCCAGTTTATTAATCACAGTGCATTAAGACAATTGTTTTGTACAAGTTTTCTGAAATATGTTTACTTATGCAAATAATGCTTTATCTAATTAAATACGACACTAATTTGCATACCAGATTATATTACCAGAACAGAAATCTGAATATTGGATATAAAGCCGGGTTCAAATTTCTTGTTTCATTTTGTTGACATATTAGAGCTAAAGAATTTTAGGGTTTTGGATTTCTTTTTTTTTATCATTATATAAATCAGAAAATAAATCACAAACTTTTTTAGTAATAACATGTTATATAAAAGAACAAAAACCTTCAGAATATAGATAAATAAAACCATAAAGTGAGATTGGAGTGAAGTGGAGATTTGACTAAAACTAATTTTGAGAAAAAAGTCTTTAAACATATGTACTGTAATTGAAATCTACATAATTATTATTAATTGTGTAATTTGGATGAACAAAGACAAATTAGAACCAGAATAGCCCAAAATGTCTTAAAAATAGCAACCCTGAGTTTGAGGAATAATATTAATATGATACTATTAAATTCACATGAATTAAGAGAGGTGTTGTAATAATGTAAAATATGTGAAAAATAATGTGTTTTTCGAACAACCTAGTATGAGAGCCTGTTCTAGTACACCCCCAAAACAAAATCAAGACTTTGTAAAAGAGCATAATAGGACCCCTTTAAATGATACTTATTTCAAATCACAGAATTCTTGAGTACTCTTACCTAAATCTTTATTATGATAATGTCATTTGAACGTTGGCTTTCAGGCGAACCATAGTCAAATTGTGTGCATTAAAACAATGAAACGGCTGACCTGATCCCAGCAGGCCTGAAAAGAGCTCATTATGTAACTGGCCAGAAATAGACTTTTTAACGGAAATAATAAAACGGCTGTTTGAACGCTGAGGGTGGTTTACAGCATTGTTTTTCTAGCCCGGGGATGTGAGGGTGTCCCTTACTCGCCGTAAGGAAATCCTCGGGAAGGACGCTCCGCCTGGACGACAGAAACCTCCCCTGCGTGTGGCTACATTTAAAGGTCACCGCGTGTCAAACCTCTTCCCAGACAGGACCTTCCGCATTTTTCCCCAGATCAGGCGGATTATATTTAGTCATGCGGTTCGGCTTTTCCCGTGAACGTTTAGGTAAGACTACAGTAGGTGGTTAGTCAGGGAGATTCCTTCATGTTCTCAATCTAAACTATTACATTAGTCCTGTTTGTTTACACTGCTTTCACTTTCAGTGCTGCTTGGAAAGGGGAATTTTATAGGCCTGTCAAACAGTTGCCAAGTGCCAACCAAATGCCATGTGACTAGATAAAATTCAGCTAGATTACTACTATAATATAATATATTATGTATTCTGAGTGGTTGTTTAATGGCCCAAGTGAAAAGTGTATGTGATATACTGTTCAAAAGTTTGGGGTCAGTAAGATTTTTATTGATTTATTCAGCAAAGATGCATTAAATTAATCAAAATTGACAGTGAAGACAGAATGATTTCTGAAGGATCCTGTGACACTGAAGACTGGAGTAGTGATGCTGAAAATTCAGCTTTGATCACAGGAATAAATTACATTTTAACAAATATTCACATAGAAAACAATTATTTTGAATTATAATAATATTTCACAATATTACTAGTTTTATTGTACTTTTAATCAAATAAATGCAGCCTTGGTGAGCATAAAAGTAAAAAAAAAAAACATACTTTTGAATGTTAGTGTACATTATTTAGTCTTTGACTTGACCTAACTGAAGTGAATTTCAACAAACAGGGAAAAAAAACAAACTATAAAATGTGGATAAGATATTCTTAGTTCTGAGCTGAGTGCTGTTTGAAGAGGACCTGAAGCGACTCTAACCTCTGATGGTGGTCTGTCTCTCACGATTGATCTTGCCAAAGGCTGTTATTGGTTGTAGATGTGGTCAGCGGTGCTGTCATGTGTGACATGTTATTTTTGTCACTGTCTAAAAAATTATTATTTTTCCTAGTTAGTCATTTCCTGGACGTGTCAGTCATTCAGCATGAGCAGAGGGGATTAATGCGTAAGATAATATTTCGACTAATTCCTCAAAAACTTCAGTGTTTTTCATAAGACTTGAAGAATGTACATTATGTAACAGTTGACCGCTGTTTTTCCAGGCCTCCAGGCCCTCACACAATACCCTATCAAGTCTAGCAGAAAACACACTTTTGTGCTGGATAATTAACTACATATACATTGATTTTCTGACTAAATATTTGCTAAAATGGCTGACTGATTGTTAGTAAACTCTGGTTTTCTGGCACTTTGAGTGGTGTAAGTGAATTGAACCAGATCGTAGGATGCAAAAAGGAAATATATATATATATATATATATCATTTTAAGAGCAAGTGACCGCACCGGCGCCTCCATCTGTCATGCTGTGAGCGCGCGACTGTTCAGATCCACACTCCACACAGACACTTGAACTGCGCACATTTTTCTAGGTTAACATTACATTGAGTGGCCATGTAAAGTTGCACGCATAAAGCTTGCCACAGCACACCGGCAGAAGTAATGATGAATGTGTCAGGGAAAAACAGTAAGATTAAACTAACTTGAACTGCGCACATTTTTCTAGGTTAACATTACATTGAGTGGCCATGTAAAGTTGCTACTACTTACATATTTCAGATGATAAGCCATATTTGAGGTCGATTAATGATGGATTACAAACGTTACAAAATCCAGCAGTTAACGATCTGTCCGTCACGGACTGCGTGACCTGACCTCACTACTTTTTTTTTCTGCGACTAAGGGACTAATAAAATGTTGGTCGACCAAGCCTCTTCTCGCCATCTAAATGTTAGTCGACTATTAGGGGGCAGCCCTAATGATTACTGTGGGTTTATTCCCTCCAACCAGAATTAGTTTAACCTCCAAAGCTCAGTTGTTTCCAACAGGAAGGCACATTTCCTTTGACCCAGCTAGAATAAATTTCCAGTGGGCCAAAGCCATTGACATTTGCATGGGCCATTACTCTCAGTAAGTGCTGCAGCTCCAGCACCTGCGCGGCATCATATTGAGAGAAGGTCGGATGGATGGGGGCATGAGGTTACCATGGGACAGTGTTTGATGATGGGTAAAAATCTGTCAGTGTCGTGTCTCCGTGTCTCTTGGGGTCATGGTCCCCGGAGCAAACTCTACAGTTTCTGCTCAACCAAATATTATTTAGCCTATTCTGAGCATTACACATGCTTAAAGACCTAAACCTTCTCAGTATTATTTTGTGCATAAACTACATCAGTATATTTTTATTATTTTGTTATTTTATTTATTAATATTTGACTAATCTGACTCCGTTGTGGTATGCAATGTCCAATTTTTATGATCCAGTCAATTTCAAATAGATAAAACCTTAATTTTTCCTCATTGATCACATTTTTTTAAAACCTGGAAATAAGTCAGATTATGGAAGTCGTGTGGGATTTAAATAACCACGTGAAGCACGAATGGCTGTTTGTAGATAATTTATTCAGCTTTATTGACTTTATTCAGCTTAGGTGTGCAGGTTTTGTTTTACAGGATTGCATACTGCTGATTCTTTTGGAAACTAACAATGTTCAACATTTTTTTTTAGGCATTTGGCACTTTTTTGTGTACTTTCTCACTCAAAATACTTTTATGTAATTGCAATTTTTTCATAAAATACAGATATATGCATGTAATAAAGTGATATTTGCATGGTGTATTTGTCAGCAATGTTATGAGTAAAGAACTTGGCAGTACAGAATGTAATTTAAACTCTGCATGCATTATTTTTTTTACTGTATGTCCTAATGCAGTGTGTTTGTTTAATAAACGGGCAAAAAACAGATATTCTGCTGTAAGCAGATATGTGATAGAAATAGTGCCAAGAACATTTAAACTTATATTGCATTTTTCTTAGGCCATAAACACCCCAGTGAAGACTTAACTTCTCTCTCATGATGAAACGGTTGTAATTATTTTCTTAATTAAGCCTGGTTTAGCTCATTCTGTTCCTGCCTGTAGGCTCAGGGTGGTATAAAAGTAAAGGACACATTGATGCTCTTTTTCGGTCACAAGACCAGCAGTGATTACAGCACACACCAACAGAGGTGATGCAACAGGAAAACTCTAGTTTGTATTGTCATTTTACCCATTTTATGTTACTCTTTTAACATATTTGAATATGCAGATTCAGTAGTTTATATTTTAAAGTCAACATGAAATTACTGTAATGCACATTACTGGTCTTAAATATGCAAATGATGTGCTTAATAAATATGCAAATGTGCATTGATGTAAATCTATAGGCTATCCATGTGAATTTTTATTGAAACGAGTTATAAACCTCACAGGTGTCTAATCAACAATTTAGGTTAACAAAATAATGTTTATTTATCAAAAATATTTAATAAACACAAGTAACCTCATGAAATTAGTATAAAATAATAAATAATCAAATTAAAAGTTTATACAGTTTGTTTTTTATAATTTAGCTTGTTTTCTAAAAGTTTGGTTGAAAAATTATTGTTGAAAGTCCAAATTTTATGCCTCTCCATAAATGTGTTCATCATATTATACTGTCGCTGTCAAGCAAGTCAATACTGATGATAAATTGCTTTATTTTCCAGGATGGTTCCAGGCGGTGCAAGGAAAGGAAAAAGACGGTGTCATTCAGTAGCATGCCAACAGAGAAGAAGATCAGCAGTGCAAGTGACTGCATTAATTCAATGGTGGATGGGTCTGAACTAAGGAAAGTACGCTCCAACTCCAGAGTCTACCACCGTTACTTCCTCCTAGATGCCGACATGCAGTCTTTGCGATGGGAGCCATCCAAAAAAGAGTCGGACAAGGCCAAGATTGATGTAAAATCAATTAAAGAGGTGCGAACTGGTAAAAACACGGACACCTTCAGGACCAATGGGAATTCGGATCAGATTTCCGAGGATTGTGCGTTCTCTATAATCTATGGGGAGAACTATGAATCACTTGATTTAGTGGCAAATTCAGCCGATGTAGCAAATATATGGGTGACTGGACTCAGGTACTTAATATCATACGGAAAACACACTCTTAACATGATTCAGAGCAGTCAGGACAACATGCGTGCGTCCTGGCTGGGCGACCTCTTCGACGAAGCCGACGTCATTGGCGGAAAATGCATTAGTCTTTGTTCGGCCGTGCAGCTGATCAAGAAGTTAAGTCCTGGGCTGAAAAATGTCAAGATAGAGCTGAAGTTCAAAGAGTTGCACAAAGTGAAAGATAAAATCGGTTCCGACGTGACCAAGGAGGAGTTCATTGAAGTCTTTCACGACCTTTGCACAAGACCAGAAATCTATTTTTTGTTGGTGCAGTTCTCAAGCAACAAGGAATTTCTTGACACCAAGGACCTGATGATCTTTTTGGAGGCAGAGCAGGGCATGGCCAAGGTGAGCGAAGACATCAGCGTGGAAATTATTCAGAAGTATGAACCTTCGAAGGAGGGGCAACTCAAGGGATGGCTCTCCCTGGATGGGTTTATCAATTACCTCATGTCAGCAGACTGTCACATCTTTGATCCTGAACAAAAAATAGTATGCCAAGACATGAACCAACCCCTTTCTCACTATTACATAAACTCTTCCCACAATACCTACCTGATTGAGGACCAGTTCAGGGGTCCGTCAGACATTACGGGCTACATCCGTGCCCTAAAGATGGGCTGCAGGAGCGTGGAACTTGATGTATGGGATGGGCCGGATAATGAACCGGTCATTTACACGGGCCATACGATGACCTCACATATTGTCTTCCGCAGCGTCATTGACATCATCAACAAGTACGCTTTCGTAGCCTCGGAATTTCCTCTGATCCTGTGCTTGGAGAACCACTGTTCCTTGATGCAACAGAAGGTAATGTTTCAGCACCTGAAGAAAATACTCGGAGACAAAATCCACGCGGATCCTCCCAACCTTGAGGACAACTACCTTCCGTCCCCTTCGGACCTAAAGGGAAAGATTCTTCTGAAAGGAAAGAAACTTGCGAGCAACTGCACCGGCTCTGAAGGCGAGGTGACGGATGAGGACGAGGGTGCGGAAATGTCTCAACGGATGAACAACGAGGGTGGCGAGCAGCAGACGGTTGTTCAACCCAAAAAGTTCCAGCTTTCCAAGGATCTGTCCGACTTGGTAACCTTATGTAAGTCTGTTCGGTTTAAGGATTTCCAGACGGCTTTCCAGAACCAGAAGCACTGGGAGCTCTGCTCCTTCAATGAGGTCTTTGCCAGTCGGTGTGCCACTGACCACCCTGGTGACTTTGTTAACTACAACAAGAAGTTTCTAGCAAGGGTTTACCCAAGTCCAATGCGAATTGATTCTAGCAACATGAACCCGCAGGACTTTTGGAAATGTGGCTGTCAAATAGTAGCAATGAACTATCAAACACCGGGTCTCATGATGGACCTCAACATCGGCTGGTTTAGACAAAACGGGAACTGTGGGTATGTTTTACGCCCAGCGATCATGAGGGAGCAGGTGTCTTATTTCAGTGCCAATACTAAAGACTCTGTTCCGGGAGTGTCTCCACAGCTCCTTCACATAAAGATCATTAGCGGACAAAATTTACCTAAACCCAAGGGCTCAGGCGCCAAAGGCGATGTGGTAGATCCATACGTTTATGTTGAAATTCATGGCATCCCTGCGGATTGTGCAGAACAAAGGACTAAAACGATCCATCAGAATGGCGACAACCCCATCTTTGACGAAAGTTTCGAGTTTCAGATAAACCTTCCGGAACTGGCAATGGTGCGCTTTGTTGTTCTGGATGACGACTACATTGGGGATGAGTTTATCGGTCAGTACACAATTCCGTTTGAATGCATTCAGCCAGGTTTCCGCCACATTCCCCTGCAGTCGCTGACGGGCGAAGTCCTTCCACATGCCTGGCTCTTCGTCCATGTGGCCATTACTAACCGTCGTGGTGGGGGTAAACCTCACAAAAGGGGGCTTTCGGTCCGCAAGGGTAAAAAGGGTCGGGAGTACGCCACCATGAGGATACTTTTCATCAAGGCTATAGATGAAGTCTTTAAATCTGCTGCACAGCCACTTCGGGAGGCCACTGATCTCAGAGAGAACATGCAGGTGAGATAACACTTACCTCAATGAGAAACAAAGTCGTGACTTGTTTTTTACATGAATGCCATAAAGGCTCAGTGTGAATGCAAAGATCAAGGTGAATATTGTAAAATCAATTCTAGTTGATATTTCTCCCCAAAATCTAAGAATAAATAAATGAGATATTTAAAAAAAATATTTTGACAAAATAACATATTTTGCATAATAATATATATATTGCATTGCAAAAAAAAAAAGAAAGCAAAAAAAAAATCAGAAAATCAATTTTACTTACTATATATACATATAGTCTTCAATTAAATTAATAATAAATTATTTTATTAAAAACATGATACCAGTCATTGGTGTCATAAAAACTGTAAAATGCTTTTGCATTATGGTCATGATGAGTCTTATTTGTAGGTTGATTAGGGAAAATATAATGTCATATTTCTTTCTTTAGATTTTTAGGTGACATATGACATGGACAGGTTTTGTGAGATTCACCCCATTCAAGTTATGCAAATGTCTCGAATCAGCGAATGTTTCGTTTGCAGCTTGCCAAGACGGCTTGCCCAACTGTATTTCAGTGTGACAAAAGTCTTCTTTTCGTAGCGTGAGAAAGTTTTCTCAAATCAAACTTCAAAAAGTCGACCCTGAGAAGGAAGCACAGCTTACAGGACGTTTATCCTCACAAGGCCAGGAGCACTTGAACTGAAACCTCTCTGGCACTGATAAACAAAAATGCTGATTTTAATCAGCTGCAGTTCCTCGATGTTGCACAACTTGTTGAACTGGTACAAAAAACATCTTGAAAATTGACCACAGACCCTTTTTTAGACACAAGAACTGAAAATATACTCATACATAGGCTACAGGTAGGCGAACGTCTCATGGATAAAAGGGGTTGGCACTACTATAACAAGAAGCACTGAGAAGATTTTGAAGTCAGGAAACGGTTTTTTTCTCTTCTTCTTAAAATTATACCGCAGATGGTGTTTCAAATTTTGTTTTGTTCATTGGTTTTTGGGCGGTTGCCTTTAGAATGAATATAGCAATCTTGTCAGAATGACCTTGATTCATACTTCAGGATCAGTGATGATCAAAAGAATATTTCAGTGCAGCTTCTTTATATTAATGCTTTGTAGGGCTGGAAAGCTAAAAGAAATGATTTCTCAATATTTTTGACTAAATAGCATACAGCTAATAAAAGGTTTACGACCAATGGTAAATTAAGTATATCGGCTTAAGAATCGGTTCCTACCAGTCGATCGCGATCGACGGGTTGGCGACCACTGATTTAAATGAACAGTTTGAATTGATTAACAGAAAGCATTCCAATTTTGGGGGGGGAAATTCACAATGTTTAGTTTTACAGTATATTGCTAGCAAAAACATCATGAATATATTAATATAACTCACATCCCTAATGCCTCAGTTATTTTACATTTAAAGGTTTTAGATCAGAGAATGGAGCAGTATACATAGTCCTCCTGCTTTGGTGTTTGCTTTATTTCAGCGTAAGCTATTCTATTCATAACAGTATTTTAGTAGTTCTGTTTACATTGCATTCTTCCTGTGGAAACAATTCCAGGCTCTGAGGCTGTGACGCTTCTGCTGCGTTCAGTAGTTATATGTGTCTCTGTTAAATATTGCTGTTGCTTGTGTCTTAAACTCACGAGAGGAGCCTTCACAAGAAAAATGGCATCTTCCTCCCACATTCAGAGCAGTGCATTTGTAGAAGAAACACTCACAAAAACCACTTCCTATCGCATTTCTTGTTAAATTTCAATGCAATTTAAATGCATAGAAAAACATTTAAAAAGTAAAGCATCCAGGTTTGTCGTGCTTCTTTTAGTTTCTGCACAATTTGGCCAAAATTCTGTTATTATATATCAATATCGCTTTATGTATTCAAAAAAAAAATTCTTCTTTAATATTGTCTTGTTTTCCAGTACAAAAACATTCTTATACAGTATGTTTACATTTAGATACATTTACTTGAAAAGCAAAATGACTTCCAGAAAACAAGACTTAATATCTATCAAAATTAAGTGAGTTTTTGCTTAAAACAAGAACAAATATCTTGTGTAAGAAAAATAATAATTGTTTCCCCTTGAATTAAGATTTTTTTCTAACCCCATTGGCAGATATTTTGTGTTGTTTTAAGCATAAACACACTTCATTTTTATACATTTTTCAGAAAACAAGATTTAATGTCCTAAGTCATTTCAAGTAAATGTATATTGATTTAAGAATTTGTAGATATTTGTACAAAAATATTAAGCAAGAAAATAATTTCTGCAGTGGATTTGTGGATTTTGATGGAAATTAGATTTAAAATAACTTAATAAATGTATTAGTAGCTTATAACACAATAAAATTAGCAAATTCCAGTACAAATATTTAAACATTCTTATAGATAAATATTAGATAAATGTATTATTAGATTATTAGATAAATGTATTTGAGATTTCAGATATATTTACATGAGAAGCAAATTGACTTAAATGTTTCTATCAATCTATCAAAATTAAGCAAGTTTTTGCTTAAAACAAGGTAAAATATCTGCCAGTGGGGTATGAATTTATTTATTTATTTTTTCTGTTTGAGAAGATTATTTTATTTATTAATAGTATTTAATTATTAAGATTATTTAAAAAAAATAATAATAATTTTCTTGTTTTAAGCATACATTATTTTTTTTATATGCATTTTTCAGAAAGCAAGACTTGTGTCTTGATTTATGAATGTTTAGATATTTGTACTGGAAAACAAGAAGAAAGAGAAATTCTGTATGCACACATTTAGTTTTCATGATTTCATGTAGCCTGAAGAGAAATAAAGTCTTTTTGGATGCATGTTGACTCAGATTTGATGAGTTACAATGATGCAACCATGAATAAAGCAGGTCTGTATCCATGGGTCATGACAATGAGTCGCAACAGTTTTTGTTTTTGCTTATGTTTGAATAATTCACCATCACAAATTGTAAATTCAAACTGCCCAGAGAATGTTTTTTGCAGTTTGATGAACAGGAACGGAATGAAAGTCTCCAAGCTCTTATTTCAGGAAGAACGCTGGAGCAGAGGAACACAACAGATCCATATGAGACCAAATTCCTCATATCAACATGTCAAAACCTGTGCTTATTTTTTCTATATTTTTTGGCTGTTGCTGTTGCCGAAATCTAAATAGCAAAGTGTTTATTGTCCGATGACTCGCATATATGAATGAGCTGAACGATATCCGTGAGGAAATGCCGCGCTGTTTGTGCACCAGTTGAACAAGGGGTTGCTTTTGTCCTCCTCCTGGTCCCCCGCTCTATAAATACCCCCTATAGTGGTTTGTCTGTCACCAAGGCTGCAATTTCGTCAGCCATTAGTAATGTAATGACAGTGGGCATGATGATGATGATGAGACAGCTGCTGCAGCTGTGTGTGCATGAGGCTACGGCCCGCGCCTCTGTCACAGCTACAACCAAAAAGTGGTGTGGCCTAGTGATTAAAGAACCAGTCACGGAAAACCAGGAAATATCAGGGGATTTTAAATGGGTTTCCAGCCTGGAATTTTCTATAGTGCATATATTTTTCTAGTTAGGCTCTTCTCTGAAATACAATTCTATTCTAAAGTAAGATTTTTGTTTTTGCATTTATTTCATGCAGTAAAATGCAGTAAAAACTGTAATTTTGTGAAATATTATTGCAAATTAGTATAAGCTGAATTTTCAGCATAATTACTCCAGTGAATCTTTAGTGTCACAGGAAATCATTCTAATATGTTGATTTGCTGCTCAAGAAATATTTCTGATTATTATCAATGTTGAAAATAGTTATATTTTTGTGAAAATAGTGATACTTTTTTTGCAGGATTCTTTGAGTAATAGAAAGTAGAGATGCACCGATCGATCGACCAGGGATCGGAATCGGCCGATTTTCCTCATGATCGGCCCGGATCGGTGACCGGCCGGTCAGTCTCCCTTCTTTCCGAATTCCGAGCCGATCCGTTTTGTTACCAGCGGCACAGGCAATAACATCAGCCGCGCATTCTCGCTCTCTTCTCTCCGACCACCCCTTCTCTACGTCTCATTCGCTCCGGTTAAATAGTGCTTGTATTGCGCATTATTTTTGTAATTTCCCGCAGGTTTCGCGCTTACACCAAACGCGCGCGCGCGCACCACCACTGATCTATTTTAGTGGAGTGCACAAGCCGCGCACAGTCTCAAAAAGCTTGTGAGCCACAAATATCTAAATGAGTGGCTAACTGCGCTAAAATGTTCAAATACATAAAAATGATGTCAAAATGCCCGTTTTGGCGAGTATCCAGTTAAACAGTCAATTTTGGAATGTTAAATAGTTGAGAAAGAGAATGCATGTTGTGTAACAGGTAGATTTTTGTTTGTATATGCTGTCAATTATAGTTCTTAGAAAGAAAATCGGAATCGGCAAAAATCGGAATCGGCAAAAATTGGTATCGGCAGATCACACTAACAAAAAATCGGAAATCGGAATCGGCCAAGAAAATTGCAATCGGTGCATCTCTAATAGAAAGTTCAAAAACAGCATTTATTTGAAGTGGAAATCTTTAGTAACGTTATAAACGTCTTTACTCTTGCATTCTTGCTGAAAAGTATGAACTTCTTAACAATAAATAAAAAAATTTATATAACTTTTGAACAGTTGTGTATGTTTACAAGCACTGCTGTTAAAAATATGAAATGAAAAAAATAAACAAATTTGTTCATTGACATCTAACTAATTGGTTGACTAGTCAACCTGTCAAGCATACTGATCCATCCTTAAACTATTTAATGCGCCCTTTCAGTATAAATAATTTTTTTTTAAATTTCTTAAAAAAAGAAAAGGTGTTAAATATACCAGATCGTCTGAGTTGGCTCTTGTCAATAAATGTGTCTGAATAATTTCGTAGTGAACTAATCCGAATTGATTTTTGGATGACTTGGATGTAGGGCTAGTTTGATAGATGCATTCAATTTGATTAAAATGCATTCATAAACACTCAGCCTTAAGTTACCACAAATGGGATGTGTGTAGTGTCACCTAACTAGATGTGAATTCTCACATTAACTAGTTGCTTATAAGCATGCATATTACTAGCATATTGGCTGTTTATTAGTACTTATAAAACATACCTTATTCTGCATGACCATATTTTAGATCTCTTAATCCTAACTCATTCCTAAACTTAACAGCTAGCTTACTAACTATTAATAAGCACCAGATTAGGAGTTTACTAAGGCAGATGTCATAGTTAATAGTAAGAATTGCACCTTACAATGAAGTGTGACTGATTTGTATATTTTCTGTAGAGAGTGTGAGTGGTGTTTGCCTGTGCAAGCCCAAATCTAGGTTCTTTCAGCGATTGTTTTGGTTGCAGATGAATGCAAACTCTGCATGGGTCTCCGAGTAGAATGGTGTGAAGAAATAGTTTTGACACTTGTATACTGTTAGCTTTCCTGTCTGCTTCTGTCAGGTCTGGGCGACCGTCGGCACGTGGCGAAGCCATCAGAAAGTGTGCGCTCCGACCCGACTTCCTGGAAAGTTGCCACAGCCTCGTGATTGATCGCAGTGAGAGGTTTCTGAGCACGAGCCATTGGAAAGAGATGCTGGCGCGAAACTAAAGCAGCTGTTCTCCTCTTTGTTGGCATGGAAAGATAATCTGGCCCTGACAAGTGACCCTGCAATGCTTTTGGCCACTATAGGGATGTACAATTCAATTAGACTGACCTGCGGTACATAAGGAACTGTGCCATTGGCAGTGCATTAAATTAAAGTTTCAGTTTATCCTTTTTTTCTACATCACAAGAGCCAGTAATTGCTCAAGACGACGAGCTCAGCTGATTCATTGTCATAGAAATTATACCACAAACAGGTTGCGAAAATCTTCCTTTTGTAACTTGTTTTCCAGACACACATTTCTGTACTTTCAAATAAGGGTAAAATTGACAAAAAAAATATTCCAGAAGGACACATTAAATTAAATTCAAAATTGACAGTAAAGGCATTTACTGTAAAATGTAGCAAAAGATTATTTTCTCAAATAAACAACTTTTCTATTAATCAAATAAAAATGTATCACAGTTTCCACAAAAAAAACAACACCGATAATATTAATAATAAATGTTAATAATAAATAAATAATTAATGCAGCATTGGAGATCAGCATATTAGAATGATTTCTGAAGGATCATGTGACACTGAAGACTGGAGTAATGATGCTGAAAATTCAGCTTTGTATCACAGGAATAAATTACATTTTAAAATATATTAAAATAGAAAACAGTTATCTTAAATTGCAATAATATTTCACATTATTGCTGTTTTTACTGTATTTTTAATCAAATAAATGCAGCATTGGAGAGCATAAGAATCTTCTTTCAAAAAAAAAAAAATCTACAAAACAGCCGTTGTTACCAAATAGATTCAAAATGTTAACTGCAGGAAGTTTCAACAATTAAAGCATGACTTCACATTTCCCACCCAGTTAGGTTTTGTAAGTGTAAACTCTTCCCAGAGGACTTTGTTTTTATGATACATGCAAGCATTTCAAGAGTCTAAAGGTCAGAACGAGCATATGCATAATCTGCATGAATAAACTTAAACCGAGGCTTGAGACTGAGATGAACTATGCTGGTAAATCATAGCACAGCTCATTTACATAGAGACGCATTAAAGGGTTAGTTCACCCAAAAATGAAAATTCTGTTATTAATTACTCACCCTCGTGTTGTTCGAAACCCGTAAGACCTTTGTTCATCTT